CCCCCCCCCTCGGCCAGGAGGGCAGCCCCCCGGGGCCGTGCGGGCTCCTGCGTGGGTCCCGGGCCACCACACGTCTCGCGAACGCGTGAGTGTGCTGGTCCTTGCACGCCAGCGCAAATATGGACGCACGTGCCGGGCCTTTTTTTTTTTTGCTCTGCCCGGGGGCGCCCCGAACACACATGAGGATCTAGGCGACCGTGGTTGTGGGGGACGTCGGCTCCTGTATGTGTGCGTAGGCACATGCATCCAAGAGCCCGCCCCGGCCGGTGCGCGGTGTATAAATTTTAAATGACAACATATGTATGTGTGTGAGTGTGTGTGATGCCACAAGCGGAGTCAGTGGAAATGCTCCAGGGAGGAGATGTGCAGGCAGGCGCACAAGTGCCCACACGCGTGCACACGCTCTCTGGTACCCTCCCCCCCCCCGGAATGGCGGTGCGCCTCCGGGCTCCATACACTGACGCGCACCTTCTTCCGAGTGTCCCCGCATCGCCCGTGTGTGTCCTTGTGTGATGTCCGGCGCGGTGGTGGGCGGGCACGCTTGCTGCACCCCCCTCTCCGCAGGAGGAGGAGGAGCAACAGCAGTAAGGCATTGCGTGTGCATACACGCACAGGAAACACACGCACAAGACTGATGAATGGCAAAATGGCGGCCTGCACAGGTGCACGGCATCAAAGGTGGGGACACAGATGGGAGCCACCCACTCATGCAGGTGCACAGTTTCATGCGCGCGCGCACATGTGTGGCAGTGGCTCCCCTTCTCGCGCGCCTCTCCCTTCTCCTCCGGCTCCCGTGCAGTTCTCTCTCTCAAAAACAAAGCCGCTCCTCTTCCTCTCGCAGGAGAGAGAGAGAAGGAGGAGAGTGTTTGTCTCTTCCCGCCATTACCGCGACACGCCCACGCTTCCCTGAAGGCGCATTTGCGCCCGCGGACCGCGCGCAAGGTGGATTGTCGCGACCGCCGTCCCCGCACGTACGCGCCCCGCGCGCGCGCGTGTATGTGTGTGTGTGTGTGTGTGTGTGTGTGTGTTCGAGGTGCCCGTGTGTTTGTCACGTCCATGGCGATTGCGTGAGCACGGGAAAGGGCGAGCGAAAGGTGCACCATGGTTGGTGTGTTGCCGGATGTGGTCAGGTTTCCGCCGAGCGGCCTCCTAGAGTGCGGGAGAGAGAAGCATCCCCCCTCCCCTTCCCCCGCGAGGCAGCCGCGCATGCGAATGTCTGGAGGTGTGGCTTCTCCTCTCTCCCTGCTGCCCTGTCGGCGCGTGATAGACCAGCCTGCGAGAGGGTGTCGCTTGGCCATGCGGCGCACCTTCTTTCTCTCTCTCACTCACACACACTCTCTCTCTCTGTCTGGGTGTGTGGCCAGAGGCATTCAGTGCACTGGGGCACACGCATGCAGAGCCAGGCTCCTGCCCCCTTTTCCCCTCGCCCTGGGGTCTGCCCCCTGGATTCCCCTCCGGGGGGGGGGGGGGGGCGCGGAGGACACGCGACTGCGCACTCGACCTCACATGCGACGCTCATCGGGCCGCAGGGGGATGGTGTTCTCGCGCGCGCGCACGGTCTCGCTGAAGCGCAGGTCATCGTAGGAGTAGTCGTCGGGCTTCATCCAGCCACCGGAGTCGCTGCCCTGCCGGCGGTCCGCCTTGGCCCCGAACTGGCGCTCGGTGTGGGTCCACTCATCCGCCAGCCGGCGGTAGGTGTCCTCCTGCCACTCGCCGGGGGTGCTGGGAGGGTGGAGGCGGCGGTAGGGCATCTCCTCGGCCGAGGTGTCGGCACCCGAGCGGCCATGGCGCTCCGGCATGCGGAACCCCTCGCGCTGGTGGTGCTGCCGGCTGTCAAGGTGATGGTCGCTGTGTCACATCCGGCAAGGGGCGATGTGGTGTTTTGTGTGTGGGCGTGTGTGTGTGTGTGTGTGTGTGGGCGTGTGTGGATGCGCGCGCGAGCGCGTTTCCGGGAACACACGCCCGATCGCGGAGGCAGGGGGCGCCGCGGCGCGAGCGAAGCGCAGCGGTAACAGGCGGAAGGTGAGGAGAGGTGGATCGATGGCAGGAGGACGGGGAAGAGGGGGGAGGGAGAGGGCGGAGGGGCACGAAGAGTGGGTGTCGGGTGCGTAGGCGCGCAGAAGAAGAAGAAGTAGAAGAGGCAGGGACCGCGGTCAGTGTGTGCGCACAACGAAGGGCCATGGCGGCAGGGGGAGAAGGGCGGGCAGCGGGCGCAGAGGCGGGAGGGGGG